CATCATACAACTCTTTTTTGAAAAACTAATGAGTCAAAAATTGAATATTTTTTATACTCACAATATCATATCTTCTCTGGGATAAGTACTACAACTAATCGTGGAAGCAGAAAGAGGAACATCTGTTTTGTACAGAACTCTTCCCCAGTATTTCAAAGTAGAAGACATGGTTTTGTTATTAGTGATATTCAAACAAAAGCCCTTGTTGCTACCACTCTTTCCACCATTAGTTCCTGAAATTACTGTATGTTTCATCTTTTGCAACAAGTCATCCTACAATGGATTATAATTATATGTTACTGAAACATTAGCAACATTTGCTTTCGAAAACCTGCCTAAAACAGTGGCTCTAGGTATAATGATAATTTCCATTCACACTATAACACTATACTCAGGTAGCTGAGCTTTTAAATAGCCTGAAAACTGTGTACATTACCCAAAATAACAGATTCCCACATTTAGGGTACTCCCTAAATATGCAAAAACAGCTATAGCTAGTGTATAATATACACTGAATAAATGTATTATGGATTGAGTACCCCTTATCCTAAATGTTTGGGAAGAGAAATGTTTTGGGTTTCAGATTCTGGAATTCTTGCATAAATGTAATTAGGTATTTTGTAGATTGGACCCAAATCTAAACATGAAATTCACTGATGTTTGATATACATAACCTGAGGATATTAATATATACAGTTTTTAATTATTTGGGGCATTAAACAAAGGGTGCATCTATGCTGTAGAATTAATGCATTTTGACATTGATTTAACTGCTATGGACTAATGCTACATAAACATGGGATCTGTAGGTTGGTGAGGCACCAAAACTCTGTTAGACAACAGGGACCAGGTAAAACTACAACTTATATAGTAGTTTTAGGCCTTAGGTTAATTTTTGGAATTTTGTATATAAGTCTGTTCCGACATATACACATTCAACTTAAGAACCTACAGAACCTATCTTGTTTGTAATTTGGGGACTGCCTGTACACTCCATAAACATACCCTGCAGATAATGTTTTACACACTATGTTTAACCATTTTATACAGGTTGGGCATTCTTCATTTGGAATTCCAAAATCCTAACTACATGGGTGGTTGAGACTGTTGATGCCAAACTACAGCTCCCAGGATTGAGCTATGGCAGTTCAAGGACCTCATCACACTAGAGCCTGGATCCACTTTAAAACCTGGATTACTACCTCTTATGTCCTATGGGGTTTGGTGTAGAACAATATTTTGTGTCCTATGGGGTTTGGTGCAGATCATGGAAAGAAAACAACAGCCCATGCTTTCCCCTCTTAATGTGATGAGGTTGATAGGCCAAGAAGCTGCAATATAGAACTTAGTCTTGCAATGTGGAACAGGTCCGTATTATCCCAGACCTGGAGATTTCAGGATCAAGTGCTGAGATCTATGGATGATCATGTGCAATGCCACAGGATTATGACACTAGCCATCCCCTGCCACGCGTTGCTGTGGTCCAGTCTGTGTATATGTGTTTTGTGTATATGTGTGTATATATATATATTTGTTATGTGCATATATGTGTGTTTGCGCATATATATGTGGTTTTGCGCATGTGCTGTATTATTTATTTTTTGGTTTTCTTAAGTCTCTTCCACTCTGTTTTTCAGTGTTTTTATGAGTGATGGTCACTTGTTGACCTGATAGGTGTATTGTGTCCAAATTTGGTGTCAATTCGCCCAGTGATTTTTGAATTATGTTAATCCCACAAACTAACATTACATTTTTATTTATATAGATTATTGAGCATTACACCTTATGGACCTCATCACACTAGAGGCTGAATCCAATTTAAAGCCTGGATTAGTGTTTCTTGTGTCCTAATATGATCCCATGGAAATAAAGGGACGGTAACCCGTGCTTTCCCCCTCTCAATGTGATGAGATCAATAGGTCAGGACACTGCAATGAAGAACTTGGTCTTGCAATGTGGAACAGGTCTGTATTATCCCAGACCCTGAGATTTCAGAAGAGTCAAACGCTGTGAACTATGGATGACCATGTGCAATGTCACAGGATTATGATGACATTATTGAGCATAACACATTATGAATCTCATCACATTAGAGCATAGATCCACTTTATAATGAATTGTCGAAATTTAAGACACAAGTGAAGACCTGTCTCTTCTGGCAGGCCCACCCAGAAAGTCTTAAAGCATAAACATGAATTGTAATGCATGCCCTTTTTGTTTAATCTCTCTTTGTCTGTTTTAATATGTATTTCATAGAGATATGTTTTGGTATGCCACTTTTATGGAGGTACATTTCAGTGTGTGAATTTGTAATGTTTCTGCTGAGTTTATGCATTTTAATTGTTTTGTAATCCGCCTCGAACAATGAAGAGAAGCAGGTAAGAAATAAAACTATTATTGTTGTTTTTGTTGTTGGCTGCTGCCTCCTGCAGAATTCTGGGGCTTGTACTTTAGGGAGGGGGCTTTATATTTATATATTTATTATTTCCTGTATTTTTACCCTGAAGGTACCCCCAATAGTGCAATGGGTTAAACCCTTGTGCCAGCAGGACCTCAAAATAACTGGTCAGCAGTTTGATCTGGGGAGAGCAGGTTGAGCTCCCTCTGTCAGCTTCAGCTCCCCATGTGAGGACATGAGAGAAGCCTCCCACAAGGATGGCAAAACATCAAAATATCCAGGCATCCCCTAGGCAATGTCCTTGCAGATGGCCAATTCTCTCACACCAGAAGCGACTTGCAGTTTCTCAAGTCTTTCCTGACACGCTCTATCTCAGCATTAAAAAAGCCGTTAAAACATTGCACATAGACCCAAAATCCTAATCCAGAAATCATTCCAATCAAACTGCAATCATTTTGTAGCTGCATATAGCCCTGTATTACTCTCCGAACGCTTGGTTCAATAGCCAGGATTTAACTTGTTTTCTAAAGGACAGGAGGGAGGGGGCCGATCTAATGTTGCTGGGAAGGGAGTTCCACAGCCCAGGGGCCACCATTGAGAAGGCTCTTGTACTGTTTAGGCTGAAAGGTCCTGGACCTCACTAAACTACAAACCCTAGAATTCTGCAGGAGGCAGAAACCGGATTTAAAATGGATCCTTGCTCTAGTGTAGTGGTTCCTAACCTTTTTTTTGACAAGGGGCCACTTGACCACTCTGCAGGGACCACTCTGCAATATTAGTACCAAAAGGGGTTACAACTCAGATTTGGTCAACTTTAGATTCGGTTTGGTTATTTGGGGTGCATTGGATAGACCACATCAGCTCTAGTTTCTGATACATAACATATGCCATCCAGTAGTCGCCATCTGCTTGCCCACAGAAAACCATATTTAATAATCCAGAGCTGATGTGGTAGTAGTAATCTTTCACGAGTAGTCAGCCTCTCCCCTCCTGACATCCCAATTGCCTTGGCACTATAAGAGGGTTTTGCGAGACCAGCTCTCGTTGCTGAGTGGTTTCGAGGCAACGGTGTAGTAATGGTGAGGCTGCGGACCATATTTTTGTTCTTGGGGAGCACGAGTGGTCCGCAGCCCATGGGTTGGGAACCATTGCTCTAGTGTGCTGAGGTTTTATGTCAGGGATCCTCAAACTAAGGCCCGAGGGCCAGACACGGCCCTCCAAGATCATTTACCCATCCCTTGCTCAGGGTCAACCTAAGTCTGAAATGACTTGAAAGCACACAACAACAACAATCCTATCTCATCAGCCAAAAGCAGGCCCACACTTCCCATTGAAATACTAATAAGTTTATATTTGTTAAAATTGTTCTTCATTTTAATTACTGTATTGTTTTTAAGTGTGTTTTTGCACTACAAATAAGATATGTGAAGTGCATAGGAATTAATTCGTGTTTTTTTTTTCCAAATTATAATCTGGCTCTCCAACAGTTTGAGGGACTGTGACCTGGCCCTCTGTTTAAAAAGTCTGAGAACCCCTGGTGTAGACCAACAATCTTTAGCCTACACTCCTACCTTTTACACATATGGTTTATTGGGAACTAGGCTGTGGCATTATGATAGTATAAATATGTGAGAGGAAGTCACAGGGAGGAGGGAGCAAGCTTCATTTCTGCTTCCCTGGAGACTAGGACGCGGAACAATAGCTTCAAACTACAGAAAAGGAGATTCCACCTGAACATGAGGAAGAACTTCCTGACTGTGAGAGCCGTTCAGCAGTGGAACTCTCTGAGTGTGGTGGAGGCTCCTTCTATGGAAGCTTTTAAACAGAGGCTAGATGGCCATCTGTTAGGGGTGTTTTGAATGCAATATTCCTGCTTCTTGGCAGGGGGTTGGACTGGATGGCCTATGAGGTCTCTTCCAACTCTAGGATTCTATGATTCTCTTTAGCTAGAAATCTGGCCCTCTGTTTAAAAAGTCTGAGGACCCCTGCTTTATGTGCTGTCAAACTACATGAACTTTAAAGAACACACGGACAGCAACGGATCCCTTTGGCAGAGGAAGAGAAGTTCCTTATGAAACGACAACACCTGGGATCACACAGCATGGAGCCAAGGCAGTTCAAAAAGTTCTGTCAAGCTGCATCAACTCCGCAGCTCAGATGCTGCCAAAGTTTGTGTAAACCGAACCAACTGGAGAACGGAAGTGTCCCCTATGTCATCCACCCCACTTTGGAGTGTTGGAGAGGAGCTCAACCCGTGCAAGAGTAACACGTGTCCCAACATTTCTTTGCTGGACGGCAGATTAAGAAGGAGGGCTGATGGGAGGGAGTCTCGCACACGTGTCGGAGGGCACGCTCCCCAAGGCTTCCTTGAAGAGGCTGCTCTCGAAATGCGGGAAAGTGGACAAGTGTTGATCCCAAGTCTGAGGGAGAGCCGTTTCCCGGCTTTGGGGCGGGCTGTGGCCGCTCAGTGGGTGGAAGAGAGGCCTGCAGGTGACCAGGGGCGAGGCTGAGGCCCGCAAGGCCCCTCCGTGAGGGAGGCTTGTTCCCTCCTTGGCCTCACAAGCCTAGGCCTACTCCTCCTCCTCCTCCTCCTCGTACTCACCGTGCCGCCGTCCTTAATGATGATCTTCTTGGCCAGCAGGATGCTGCGGTTGGCGGCCCTTTTCTTCTTCTTCCCCGCCTGGGTCATTTTACCATCCTCCTGGAGGAGGGCCGAGGCGGGGGAGAGCGGCGGCCGGCGAGAAGAGCTCGGGCCCGAGGCGTCTTCTCGGCCTTTCCCGGCAGCCAGGACTCGCTCGCTCGCTCGGCTCTCTCTCGCCTCAGACTCTCTCTTCGCCTCAGTCACCCGCCGCCGGCGCCGCCATCTTGGAGCGAGCGAGCGAGCGAGCGAGCGAGCGAGGGAGGGAGGGAGGGCAGCCAACAACAGAGGCAACAGAGCCTCACATCACGCGATCCCGCGATTGGTCAGGAGGCGGCACACGTGAGCGCGGAGGCCCCTCCCACGAGGGACGCCGCGCGGGAGCCAATCGCCGCCCGCTGACGATCCTAGCCGACGCCCCATTGGGGGAGCAGCACGTGAAGTGAGGGAGAGAGCACGTTGGGAGGGGGCGGGGCTTACCGTCTCCATGGAGTCCGCCTCGGGCTCACAACCAAAGCGCCCACAGCCCAGGACTCTCGCAGCATTCAAAATACAACTCCCGTCATCCTCCACCGCCGGTCTTGCTGGCAGGGGCAGCTGGGAATTGGAGTCCAGAAGCATCTCGCTGCCCCAGCCCCGGAACAGGAGTTCTTGCGATAACATTTTATGTCCCTTCCCACCTGTGTACTTGACTGTTAGTCAGAGTTGACTACACCGCTGGAGAAATTTATTTATTTACTGCATTTATATACCGCTTTTCTCTCCCCTGAAGGGGACTCAAAGCGGTGCACAACAAATACAGGAAAAGAGATTTAAATTTCAGGAAAAGAGATTTAAAGATGGGCTCAAAGCCAACCTTAAAAACTCTGGCATTGACACTGAGAACTGGGAAGCCTTGGCCCTTGAGCACTCCAGCTGGAGGTCAGCTGTGACCAGCAGTGCTGCAGAATTTGAAGAGGCACGAATGGAGGGAGAAAGGTGCCAAGAGGAAGGCACATCAAGCCAACCCAGACTGGGACCACCTTCCACCTGGAAACCAATGCCCTCACTGCGGGAGAAGATGCAGATCAAGAATAGGGCTCCACAGTCACCTATGTACCCACCGCCAGTACACCGATCTTGGAAGACAATCCTACTCGGACAACGAGGGATCGCCTAAGTAAAAGTTACTTAGGTGATCTCTTGTAGCTTGAGGATAATTGTCTTCCAGATGTGGTTCTTGGCAGTGGGCCTGTAGGTGGCAAATCTCTTGGGATGACAAACGGACAAATGTCAGCGTGCTGGAAGAAGCAAAGACCACCAGCATTGAAGTGATGGTCCTCCACCATCAACTCTGTTGGACCGGCCACTTTGTCCGGATGCCCGACCACCGTCTCCCAAAGCAGTTGCTCTACTCTGAACTCAAGAATGGAAAACGGAATATTGGAGGACAGGAAAGTCACTGAGAATTGGCAAGCCCTGGCCCTTGAGCACTCCAGTTGGAGGTCAGCTGTGACCAGCAGTGCTGCAGAATTTGAAGAGGCACGAATGGAGGGTGAAAGAGAGAAACGTGCCAAGAGGAAGGCGCATCAAGCCAACTCCAACCGGAACCACCTTCTATCTGGAAACCAATGCCCTCACTGCAGGAGAAGATGCAGATCAAGAATAGGGCTCCACAGTCACCTATGGACCCACTGCCAGGACACTGATCCTGGAAGACTATCCTACTCGGACAACGAGGGATCCTCTAAGAAAGAGAAGACAACAAATAGTGACAAAATTCAATGCCAACATATATAGGAACCAAAGAATAATAACTGAAACATTAACATGTAACTATAAATTAAACCTTAAAATCATATTTAACTAGAACATAAACAGAAAATTAAAATTAAAATAGAGAATTAAAAACATCTTAATAGAGCATTGAAACCACAAAATCCAGAATCGTAAACTGAAGCTGTTCCTCTTGTCTATTGCACTTACATCTCATCAATTTCTTGTATTCTCATTACTTTACTGCCTGAAGGCTTGGTCCCATAGCCATGTTTTTTTCTGAAGATCAAGAGGGAGGACCTTTACAGAAATTATACTGTTTAGAAATTATACTTGTTTATTTGTTCAGTTGCTTCCAACTCTTTGTGACCTCATGGACCAGCCCACGCCAGAGCTCCCTGTTGGCCGTCACCACCCCCAGCTCCTTCAGAGTCAAACCAGTCACTTCAAGGATACCATCCATCCATTTTGCCCTTGGTCGGCCTCTCTTCCTTTTTCCTTCCATTTTCCCCAGCATCATTGTCTTCTCCAAGCTTTCCTGTCTTCTCATTATGTGGCCAAAGTACTTCATCTTTGCCTCTAATACCCTTCCCTCCAAAGAGCAGTCGGCCTTTATTTCATGAAGTATAGACTGGTTGGATCTTCTCACGGTACAAGGCACACTCAGAACTTTCCTCCAACACCACAGTTCAAAAGCCTCTACCTTCCTTCTCTCAGCCTTCCTTATGGTCCAGCTCTCACATCCATAGGTTATTACGGGGAATTCTATTGCTTTAACTACCGTATGCGGATCTTCGTTGCCAATGTGACATTTCTACTCTTCACTATTTCATCGAGATTCATTATTGCTCTCCTTTCAAGAAGTAAACGTGGGGACTCGGCTGCTTACAACATATAGAGAGGCAGACATTCAATGCCATATAAAATACAAAAGAACATAAACCAAAAGATAAACCCCAGTTTACATTTACACATGAAACAAAGACAACTTACACAGAAAATTTACACAGGAACAAAGACAATTGAATAAGGCATTGACATCTCCGGCCCATTCTCTGTTTGGATATCAGCCAACATGCCTTGAATCAAGAAATAATTTTCCCAGATCTACAGAGATACTTGCAGGAACACCCCAGCAAGTGAGAGTCCAAAAATAGCAGGCTGAAACCTAGAACCTCAATCAATGGCTGATACCAGATGAGAAACTCCCTCCTGTGCACACAGAAGACTGGGCGACTTGGAAGGCACAGAACAAGCGTCACTCTGCGACCACAAGATGCAGAGCCAATCTTAAGAAATCAGGCCACAAATGGAGTCCACGACATGCAAATGTAGAGAAGAGCAAACCACAGACCACCTACTACAATGCAGTCTGAGCTCCGTCACGTGCACAATGGAGGTCCTTCTTACAGTGACACCCGAGGCACTCAAAGTGGCCAGCTTCTGATCAAATAAAATTTAGTATAATGCCAAGTTTTTAATTTTGCTGGTGTTTTTTTTTAATACATTATAACTCTGAGCCTGGAACTCAACAAAAAAGCTCCTGTTTTGTAGCAGAAGCAGATGGTGAAAACAGAAGAACAGTCTGCCTCAGGGTGTAGATGTTAAACATTGATGGAACAAGCATGCTGCTTGTTCTATCAATGTTTAACATCTACACAAATGATCAGCCACTGCCAGAAGATTCATATATGCTGACGATTATGCCATCACCGCTCAAGGATCTTCGAAACACTTGAACAGAAGCTCTTCGAAGCTGTAGGTGCTCTTACTGCCTATTACAGGGAAAACCAGCTGATTCCTAGTCCATCTAAAACATGGATGTGTGCTTTTCATCTAAAGAACAGACAAGCATCTCAAGTTCTGAAAATTACCTGAGAAGGAATCCCACTGGAGCCTGCAGCACACCCAAATACCTGGGAGTTACCCTGGACCGTGCTCTGACGTACAAGAAGCACTTCTCCCACAATGCTCCATTGTTTCTGAAGGTTTGCTATTCCTTCATATGCCACCATTGCTAAAATTGCCAGAACAAGTGTTGGATCTTGGAAAACACACACTCAGTTTCTTTGAACATATCAAGGATACCATGATGCACATATGTTTTGTAGTTTGCATGGCTCAATGAATCCTTATATATATACATATACATACATACATATCAAAAACTGATGCAACCTGTGATAGAAGAACAAACTGGAAGCATGAAAAAAAAACCCATTTTTAGTGCAATCAGGCTTCTTCTAGTAACATTCTGAGTCCTGAGAATGTAGCTAATAATAGCATCTGAAGCACAAGGAATGGGTATGAGAAGTTTTCACGAAGAGGTGGAGTCCCCATCACACGAGTCCTCTCACCATGGTTGAAAAAGAAACATGCCACTGTAAGCAGACCTCCAAATGTTTCCACTTAAGTTTGTGCCATACGGAAAGAACATTGACACAATCCATTCAGAAGAAATATCACAGACACATAAAAATAAGTAGGATCTCCAATTCCTTCACAGCTTTGAATGGGGCTATTTACAGTCCAACACTCCTGTGTTTGAATACCAGTAGAATTCATTTCCTCTGTGCAGTACCAACGGGCTAGCACAACCTCTGGATACACTATGTAAGTTCAACTGGTGCTAGACTACATTAATATTGCAGTGTAGATGCAGACCAGCCTTTCTCAAACTTTGGTCCTCCAGAGGTTTGGGGCTTGAACTCCCAGAATTCCTGACTGTTGACAGGATTCCTGGATAGGGCTTCTGTAAGCTGAAGTCCAAAACAGCTGGAGCCCCAACCTTTGAGATCGTTTCTTAATTTTTTAATTATGGAAATTAAAATAACCAGATTACTATTTTTCAAGTGATATATCACTATATGTAATAATAATACATGTAATCCCAGTTTGCATCTACAATGTAAAATTGATGCAGTTCAACATTACTTTAATTGCCATGGCTCAACATTATGGAATAATGAGAAGGGTAGTTTTATTTATTTACTTCATTTATATCCTACCCCGGTTAGAGTAGGCAGCAATTTGATGCCATAAACATACATATAAGATAAACAGTTTTATAAGGTGTTTAACCTTTTTTGTCCAAATGGGCTGGGCAAAATCTCAAGTACCAGGATCCCATAGTATTGAGTCATGGCAGTTCAAGTGGTGTCAATCAGCATTAATCTTTCAGTGAAGACGCACCCTATACCTGTATATTGCACCAAAGTGCAAGTCTGGCCTATAACGTCATCTGGTGTTCGTGATTTAAATCAGTGCCGCAAATCCAGCATCCAAATATTGTTCACAAAAAATAAATAAATCATGGCTTCAGCTAATTCCTGTTATTTATCTTCCCCTCTCCCCCTTCTCTATATTCTACCTTGTAAATTACTCTATTTTATAAACTGTACTGCATTTTATGATGACCAGTAGTTGTAATCAAATAACTTAAACTCTAATGTATCACAATCACAGGAAAGGATCTGTATTGCATTTGTGCAGAATGTAGCAGATGTTTGATTTTAAAAAGACACAGATGGTGACACCTTGTTGGATGCCCAACAACAGATTCAGTGACATCTTGTGGCTGTTCAGGAAATCTCATGTCAAATAAGGACAGTATATTGTGCTCAATAAATGGGAGAATTTGTGTTGAAGTTCCACTTACTATTTTCTGCCTTTCCTTATGATGGTCTGTGAAGAGCCTTCTAAAATATAAGCCTTATATTGCATCCTCTGAAAACTTACAGGACCACCAGTGAGGTCAGATCTGCACTGCCATACAGTTTAGTGTCTGAATTCAGATTTTTTTTTTCATGTCAGGAGCAACTTGAGAAACTGCAAGTTGCTTCTAGTGTGAGAGAATTGGTCGTCTGCAAGGATGTTGCTCAGGGGACACCTGGATGTTTTTACCATCCTTGTGGGAGGCTTCTTTCATGTCCCCACATGGGGAGGTGGAGCTGACAGAGGGAGCTCTACCTGCTATCCTCAGATTTGAGCTGTTGTCCTGTTCGTCAATGGTCCTGCCAGCAAAAGGGTTTAACCAGGACTGTGGCGCAGCTGGCTGGGTGTCAGTTCCATTAAGATCACTACTGACCGAAAGGTCATGAGTTCAAAGCCATTCCAAGTCAGAGTGAGCTTCTGGCCAATTTGTGTAGCTTGTTGTCAACCTTTGCAACCCGAAAGACAATTGCATCTGTCAAGTAGGAAATTCAGGTACCACCTATGTGTGGGGAGGCTAATTTAACAAATTTACAAGGCCATAAAAATCTCCAGCAAAAACATGTGGGGAATGCGGAAAGTGCTTCATCAGTGTCGCAGATGGACTGTGAAGCGACAGCTCCCCTGATGGCCAGAAAATTGTAATGCGAAATAGCATCTTACTGTCTGTCTATATGTGTTGTGTCTATGGCATTGAATGTTTGCCATGTATGTGTATATCGTAATCTGCCCTGAGTCCCCTGCGCGGTGAGAAGGGCGGAATATAAATACTGTAAATAAATAAATAAATACATACATACATAAATACATAAATAAATAATAAAAACCCACTGTGCCACCAGGGGCTCCTGAATCCAGATTATCTGCTTTGAACTAGATAATGTGAGTCTACACTGCCATATAATCCAGTTCAAAACAGATAATCTGGATTCAGAAACTGAGTTATATGAAAGTGTAGAAGGCATCTGAGACTACTGATCTACTATAGGTCATGTGGGAACAGAAACTCTTACCAATTTATAGGGCCCATGTTGTGGTAGAGCTGGAAACAGATAGTTTCTTAAAATCTTCTCATATCTGTTCACAAAATCACATTCTGAATACAGCCTTGAATGGTAGAAATGTGCAGAGGGAAAGTTAGGGTAGAGAAACTCCTAACCATAGAAACAACTTCCTATCTCATAGAACAATACACACTGCTGTAGTTCTTCATTGCTCCCACAAAACCCACAGCAGCCAAAAATTAAATAAGTAAATGCCTTTTATGTCACCAGGGCATCCCTCTAGTCAAGGACAGCACATGGCCGGTTGGTCTGACCACTGGAACAGGGAAGTCATTAGAAAATGAGGATGTGTGTCTTGCAGTAGATATGCTCGTGGATTATTTAGGTGGTGAAAGTAAAAGTGCCTTTTCTTCACCATTGGTATCATGAGGAAAATATGAAAAATAATACCTTTTTGCTACATCATAACTAGATCCTTCACTCTCCTGGCTCGTGACTTCCTTGGTGGAAGTGGGTATCTCAGGCCCCTTCTACACTGCAATATAACCTGCTAAGATTATCTTTCTCAAATGGTGAATCAAGCTCAGTCACAACATTGTATTTAAAGACACCGGGAAGAAGTATGAAAAAGTCTCAGTCAGAGAATGAATTGTTGAGGCAGTTTGAACCCCATCCCTCCCTGTGCTCACCATTCCGTTTTGGGTACCCTTCTACACTACCAGATTGAATGGGATTATATGGCAATATAGACTCTTATAGTCCACTTCAAAGCATATAATGTGGATTATCTGCTTCGATAATCTGGGTTCTGAGCAGGTAGGTGCCACACTCTCTGTAAGAACCAAAGCATTTCCTGCCTGGGTGGAAGCGGACTTAAGTAAAACAATGGTTTTGATAGAACATTTTGTATTAAATTGGTGTAAGGCCACTTACATGAAATGTGATCAAAAGCAATCATAGTACAGAATGTGCTGCTAATAAATCAATCAAGAGTTTATAAACATCAAAGAAGAGTTGTCGATTTATATAAAATGTGAGCATAGCCCTCTCATACATAGATTTTTACATACTTGGAACTATAATCATAAAATTACATCTCTTAAAAACACAAAGATAACAAAATTGAAAAGCAATGGTAATTAAAAAGCAACCAAACACACAATCCATTTTGTACAGACATAAAAACAGTTGAAAAGGCAATAGTAGAGAGATGGCACACATGGGCCACCAACCTGTAAAACCAATTCTGAACCCTCCTAAACCTATGTCTAAGCTAAATCTGCTTAAATATAACCAGTGAATTTGGTGGAAAGCTATGCTCAGGAGCCGATGGATGTTGACTCCACAACTGGACCCTTGACTTGACAATTATTGTAGACTTTGAGACAAAAATTGACAAGACAAAGAAGTATGGTGACTGGTAGAGATTTTGTGTGTGTGTCAGAAGCGACTTGAAAAACTGCAAGTTGCTTCTGGTGTGAGAGAATTGGCCGTCTGCAAGGAAGTATGAATGCAAGGAAGAGGATGTCTGGATGTTTTATCATTCAGTTGGAGGCTTCTCTCATGTCCCCACAAAGGAACTGGAGCTGACTGATGGGAACTCACCCTGTCTTGTGGATTCGAACCACCAACCTTCAGGTCAGCAGTTCAGCCGGCACAAGGGTTTAACCCATTGCGCCACACCGGCTCCGGTAGAGATCATAAATGAAATTACTCTTTTGGATTTATCAGTATAGATTTGCACTGTTTGCTTTGTTTATTCATCAGAAAGCTAGCCATGTAAGTTTTTATTACTGCTATAAAAATGGCAAGTTGAACTTGCCTGCAGACTAAAATCAATTACAATTAGCTGTAATTTTGTCTTTCTATTCCTTTTGGGGTGTTGAAAACACACATACTTTCATAAAAATGATATGCAATAGTGATAAAATACGCAAACTACACAAGATGCAAAATAAATTAAAAAAAACCCCAAACCTGCGCATTCATCACAATGAAGCATATGTCATAGTGAAGTATTTGTTCCCAAGGTGGATTTCAAGTATACCAGAGCTGACTTACAGATACATGTACAGATACATTGCTTGTCTTTGATCAAGTGTAGTATCTCTTCTTATCAGTTTAATATTTGAGAACTATATATTTGTTATACATGTATGAGTCCATGGCTGTGTGAACTAAAACTCAGGGCATCAGTGGTACCCTATACAGGGAATGAAAATTGCTGTTCTATTATCCCATGTGTGTTGTACAGCTTACATGTCAAGATGCAGGTGATGCTTCACACATCTTTCTCAGCATTATTAAAAAGGGATTCTGAATGACTGAGTCTAAAAGATCTGACCAAAGAGAAACTCTCCTTAGCTATGAGAATCTGAGCCCAGGGAATATGATAGTCATGTAAACAATTGAAGCCAATTCCGTTCCATAAGAAGAGTTAGATGTTCCAGGAGTTTAGGCCATGGCTCCATCTACACTAACCACTTAATGCAGTTTGAGGCTAACTTAAAACTGCAGCAGCTAGACAACAAACTCCCAGGAAAGCAGCCAAAATAAATCCCTTATTACGCACTAGAGCTCTGGGGTTTGTGTAATCACTACCTGTACTACCTAACTAGTAATCACACAAAACAATACATGAAGTTTTCGTTAAGATAATACCGCAACGATCTAATTGATGACACACACACATCAGCTTTCAGACCATAACATGAAACACAACAGCTCTTATTAATACAAAAAATATAAACAATTAGACAAACTAAACTCAAAATGGTGTGATATTTTCTATTAAATATGAGGAATCAGGTCATCCTTGCCATTTTGGAAAATATTTTCAAGTTCTTTGGCAATTTCTCCCTTTACCAGTGCCAATGCCTGGAACATAAATTATGTTCTCTGTTAACCATTAGTGATAGAGACACTGCATGTAAGTGATAGTTAACATTTAATTTGAAAAGAAGAGCTGTGACATCTCTGTATACATCTTTGGAGGCTTAACTAAAAGAAAGACTTGACAAATATTGTTAGTGAGGCTGCAATCCTGTCCACGCTTATCTAGAACTTATGTCCTTTTGATTTACTTCTGATATTTTTTTTCATGTCAGGAGTGACTTGAGAAACTGCAAGTTTATTTCTGATGAGACATTATAAATTATTTCAGAAAAATTCAAGAACTTCATGGAGTACCTGAACACCATTAACTGGTTTAATTCATGGTTACAACATAACTAAAGAGTCATATGAATACTCTTAGACCCCTAGTCTCTTACACAAGGCCATGCTTTTAGATGTACACGTTTAACCTATGCATTTTAATTAATAGATATTGATTTTTATGTGTGCTGTAATCTTGTCTATGTGTTTTTAATCTATGTTGGGTTTTGTATTTATCTATTGTTTTGAATCCTGTTGTACCCCACCAGGATAAACGGGTAAGAAAGAAAAAGTATTATTGTTGTTCTTGTTGTTCTTGCTGTTATGTTTCAGATTAAATGCAAGGTTAAATAGGTGTGTATTCCCTGGTTTTGATGTTTCCATAAGACATTTAATAAGAGGTTTGCTTACATGAAACTGGGCCACATTTTTTTTAAATGGAGTCACACAAGGCAACCTAGCTAATACAAGGACATACAGTATGACCCCCATATCTATGAGGAATACATTGTTGGACTGACTGTGGTTACACCACTGAATTACCTCACTTCTGGTCCCACCGAACTACAGAGCTGTGCTGGAGGACCCAGAGGAAGTGAGAATCAGATGGAGGATCTAGCAAATTCCAAAAGAGAGGATATGGGTTCCACCGTTCTAGGTGTCTAACTTTATATGCACGGCAAACCACATCAGGTTGGCAAACCTCCCATTGGTCTGGCCACAAGATCCCAGCATCAATTCTTAAGAGGGCTTGGCTCACTCACTACAGCTCACCATTAAAATGCATAGAAACACTCAATATACATTTATTGCAAGATATTATTTCTGCATCATGCTGGGTATTTTAAGAAATGTTTTGTCTTGAAGCCACCAAAAAAGAATGGGTATGAAACTGAAACTATGTGTGTTCATAAGGATTATCATATAGCCAATGAAGTCCTTACTGGTCACAATTACTTCCCAGTGGAACCCATTCAACATTTTCCCAACCAGAATGCTCACAGGGTGCATGGGGTCCTGTAGTTGTCCCTTGGCTCCCACTAGGAGGAAGCCTGTCATTATTGCACAATAACAATCTTCATTTCTTGGTTAATGCAATTGACGTGTTTTCTAAAAAGGGAATTTACAAAGTGGACTGAATTACTTTAATTACACCATTCCACTTTTTAAAAAAGCTCTGTAATATTGTACAGTATATACAGATGATATATAACCATAGCTCCAAAAGGAATCATATAATACAGTACCTGTAAACAATTGCCTGGCAAATCTCAAAAATACCTTTAAAAATATTTTCAAATAAATTTTGTAAACAACAAAATGTACTGTATGTTAATTACAATATTTTTTTTGCTTGTCAAGAAAAGTAATTGTTCTTTGAACAAACAGACCCATATTCAGAATCAATAATGGCACTATCACTCGCCCTGTGGCCATTTTCTAAATACAGATGGAGCATCCCTTTCTGAAGTGCTTTTGGATTTTTGTCAGATTTTGGAATACTTGCGTATATGTAATGAGATATCTGAGAGATGAGACCCAAGTCTAAACGCAAAATTCATTGATGTTTTGTATACACATAGCCTGAAAGTAATTCATACACAATATTTTAAATCAATGTACAAAGTTTATGTACACTGAAAAACCGGAAAGTAAAGGTGCTACTATGTTCGCCACTCATATGGACATTTTTGGATTTTGGAATATTTCAGATGTCAGGGTAAGGGATCCTCAACCTGTATGAGAATGAACACAATTTCATGGGTGCTATGCCACCTCCATTTGTTTCAGTGGGTCTTCAGTGTGGTCTCCATTTAAATAAATAAGAAAGGTGCAGTCAGCATGCTTTGTGTGAGCTGACCACTATAAACAGACAATCTACACAACACTCTTGACATAATCTACAAATGATAATAAAAGTATTAAATTTTCCCTCTCATGGAATTTATCAAAGAAATTGGTCATCACTGTTAAGAAACATATATAGATGTTTTACAACATCAATTTCTGTTTATTAATTCAGCTTTCTATATAAAATATTAAAAATCTGAAAAGGAAATTTATTCAATAATATCTTGCAAGTTTTTGAATCGGAATACCTAATCAGAACTGTCTCGGTAGAACAAGATTCTTCTGCTATTTCTTTTCTTTTGCTTTGATTTGGTACTTATGCAGCTGTTTTAAAAACATACTAAGGTGAAACAGTCGATTTGCAAAAACAGGTATGATTCAACAGACGTTGTCATGTGCTTTTGCAAGAAGAGTGCATAGGACATTTCTGTAGCAGTCAAAGCCAGTAAATCATTCTGATTTAATCTCAAGAGTTCAAGTGGGAAGCATTTCTAATTGCAGGTCCTAGAAGCAATGTGTTCCCTTTGAGTTTTACTTTCAGCCTCTCTTCTTTTCCGGAGGTACACACTGTTTTTCATCTTCCCCTCATTGGTCTTCTATAAACCATTATTTGATATCATTCCTCCAATACAGCATAAACTCTTCCTTTCCTGTGCTCAATGGTCCTCCATACAGTTTTATTCTGAAGTCCTTAATGCACAGTTTTGGCAAAATGGTCCTTTGTGGTAGAGCTTGCTACGCTTTGATAGGGTTCCCTGCGGGCTTTGGATCATAGCCATATAGGAATGTCGCAGCTATTACAAGAACAGCTCCAAGGAAGAAAACACTAAAAGAAAAAGAGAGAGAAAAACTTAGAAAACGTGTCTGTTTCACATTCGGGCTTGAATCTTCTTGATAGTTCCAAATACAGCAATTCGCCAAATTAAGGAGTTTTACATGAACGTTGAACAAATGATTAAGTGGATCTACTTTAAGTGGGACTACTAAGTGGCCTCATAAACCAGATAGTAGCTCATACAAGAAATACTTGTTTTACAATCAGAATATCAATTGACTTTGCATTTCCCATTCCTCTGTTCTTTTTTTAAAAAAAGGATTATAGTTCAATGTATTGTCAAAGGCTTTCATGGCCAGAATCAATGGGTTGCTGTGAGTTTTCCAGGCTGTAAGATCATGTTTCAGAAGCATTCTCTCCTGAAGTTTCACCCACATCTATGGCAAGCATCTTCAGAGGTTGTGAGGTCTGTTGGAAACTAGGCAAGTGGGGTTTATATATCTGTGGAATGTCCAGGGTGGGAGAAAGAACTCTTGTCTGCTAGAGGCAAGTGTGAATGTTGCAACTGGACAGCTTGATTAGCATTGAATATCCTTGCAGCTTCAAAGCCTGGCTGCTTCCTGTATGGGGGATGTTAGCTGGACCTGAGTGTTTCCTGTCTGGAATTCCAGTTTTCTGAGTGTTGTTCTTTATTTACTGTCCTAATTCTGGAGTTTTTTTTTTAATATTGATAGCCGCATTTTGTTCATTTTCATGGTTTCCTCTTTTCTGTTGAAATTGTCCACCTGTCTGTGGATTTCAATGGTTTCCCTGTGTAGTCTGACATGGTGATTATTAGACTGGTCCAGCATTTCTGTGTTCTCAGATAACATGCAGCTGTGGACAAGTCTAAATAGGGACCACCAAACGCAGCATTGCCCAAACACAAATCAAGGAACATGAACTGCACTGCAGACTAATTCAACCAGAGAAGTCAGCCATAGCAGAGCACTTGATGAATCAAGCTGGACACAGCATATTATTTGAGAACCCAGAAATGCTGGACCACTCTAACAACCACCATGTCAGACTATACAAAGAAGCCATTGAAATCCACAAGCATGTGGACAATTTCAACGGAAAGGAAGAAACCATGAAAATGAACAAAATCTGGCTACCCGGTATTTTTTTTTAAAAAAAAACAACTCTAAAATGAGAACAGTAAATAAATAACACTTAGAAAAGAGAGGAATTCCAGACAGGACACAATCAAGGCCAGCTAACACTAATCCCCCCCAGGCAGGAAGCAGCCAGGTTTGAAGTTGCAAGGTCATTCTGTGCTAATCAAGGTGGCCAATTTCAACATTCACGCTTGCCTCAAGCAGAAAAGAGTTCTCTCTCCCACCCTGGACATTATTCCACAGATATATAAACTTCACCTGCCTAGTTTCTAACAGACCCTTCAAACTCAGAGGATGCCTTTCCATAAATGAGGGTGAAACATCAGGAGATAATGCTTCTGGAACATGGCCATGCAACCCAGAAAACTCACAGCAACCCAGGATTATAGTTTTCACTCTCTTCCCATAAGCTTGTCACGAAAGACTAGGACCCCTCCAGAGATATGCTAAGGAACTGGAACAATAATGAAGAAAAAAACACTATATTAAAGCTATGTGGTTAAAAATTTTGTTTTACAAGAATTTCATATAACTTTCCTGCTTATAGATTTAGTTGGACAACTCCTCCCATGGCCTTATGTGTGACATAGTCAAATTCCCTTGTCTGGTCATTTACCTCTCAATTTCCTACAAATTATTCTTTATCCACTACTGATTTACCAGCCAAAGTTTAGCAACAAACAAAAGGCAAAGTTGGTAGGTGTTTTGCTTTTGGCATTTAATTATTGACCTGGCCTGCACTGTTGCTTGAGCTATCTGAAATGAGCATCTGGTTGAAATATAACTTCAATTATGTGCTTATCTACAAATGATTAATAATATGAGTTTGAAAACAGAAACCACTACACTGTTTTATGAGGATTTTATTCCTTAAGGAAGAATCTTGGAAATGACTTATAGAACACTACGATGCATGTTTATTTGGAATTAAGTATCTCGAGACTAACACTTGTGCTAGCAGCCCTCAAGCTTTGGAGAAAGGCTGTAATAATGTGTTTTTGTATATAGATATGCTATATATTTGAAGGTAAGATCTTGATGGAACTTTTCTACCATGTATTAATCTAAATTACAACCGACATTGAATAAACATCTAACATACACAGGCCCTTAGTATCGACTGGGTTTGGTTCCAAGATCCCCCGTGGGACACCAAAATCTGTGGATACTCAAATTCCATTACAACAGCATAGTAAAATAGTTTGCGTACCTTATATAAAATGGCAAACAAACTAGGGCTGGAGAGAGCTTTGGAAAGGGGTTCATAAGACAAGCCCTTTGAGCCAAACTGAGCCACAACATACATCTCTACCAGTTTTTATCTAAACTACAGTTTAATCCAAGTTGACATTAAAGATATCAAGCCAGAAGAATGGGAAGCACAAAAACTAGAAATGCCTATCAACAATTAACAAGTGCAATGTAGATTGGACAGCCACCTATGGCCCCTTTGACACTACCATATAAAATCCAGATTGTCTGCTTTGAACTGGATTATATGGCAGTATAGATTTATATAATCCAGTTCAAAGATGATTATGTCGATTATCCGATTTGATAATCTGGATTATAAGGCAGTGTAGAAGGAGCTTTAGGTGGCTTCCCACTGGAGAGATAGGGTGGGCTACAAATAAGTTGTTGTTGTTGTTTTGTCGTGTCACAGCCATTCCTGCTTAAGCATTTGAACATAATGTAATGAAAATTCATTTATACTTTTACAAAATGTTTGAATTTTCAGATTACTTGTGTAATCTCCTCTTACCTTGTAGGGACAAAATCTTGCAGCCAAAAGTACGAGATTAACGTTGACAATATAATAGATAATGACGTTGCAAATCCCTTTAAAATGTTGTCTGCATATTTTATAACAGCAGCTATAACGAGGCCTCCAAGTGCCTGGCAAAATATCACAAAACAGATTGTTACCATTTTAATTTTTTTTATTAAATCAATTAGATGAATTTGAATTAACTGTATTTGCTTACAGCAAAGGGAAGAAACATGAGGGTGGGAGCATGCATTTACTCAGGTTGGCCTGGTGAGTTCGTACTTGAGCTAATATCAGAGGCAGCCTCGCACACACCCTCAACCTGTAATTCTTAGTCTTCCTAATTCCAGGAATAAGAACCAATGAACTCATAAGAGCTATTGCTAAGCAAATAAGGATAGGATTGTGCAGTTAATCACTATGCTATGTGAGCTGCTAACCCTTTAGCTTCAAGTATTGTATTACAAATTGCTACTGAGTAGCTGCACATTCATATGTAAACAATTGGAGCTAATTACATTTTAAATACATATTTAAAAGGCTGCCTACATGCAATGCTTTGCATCAAAAATCTTTATTAATGCTAATCTGTAATGATAAGAATGTGTAAAAGAAATCCTGTTAGTATTACTGAAAGGCATGTTACCTGGTCATCTAAATTATTTGCATTGGAATTTATGAAAATTGCCAATGAAAGCTGGAAAGAAGGATGTGTACATCTTCCTCATAGATGCTTATAATGAAATAATCATACAATGATACTGACCTGCCTAATTGGCAGCAGTTTTTAAAATAGGTCCCGTTTTTATCCTAGTACTTTAACCCATTATTTATTTATTTATTTACTCCATTTGTATACCGCATTTATCAGCCTGGAGCGGCGACTCAATGCGGTTTACAGTAAAAGTAAACAGTGAACAATAAATAAGACGCACATCGACAAACAATACACATAATCATCAACGCCTACTTAGAATCAGATCCCGTTCTCATAGTCCTTAATTCAATCCTTGTTCAATGCCGTCATTATTGGGTGGATGTTACTGTTACACATAATTGTTCCTGATTAATAACGAGCAATGTTGACCCCCCTCCAATCCCTATGGAACGGCACTTGCATAATGTGGGAAAATAAGCCCAGATGATTCTCGGAGAGGAGGCTGGTGAAGAAAACGTAACTTTGACTCATTACCTGCAGCACGACTACTATCCAGGTTAGCTTATTATAACCTTGAAAAAACCCGTTCTTTGATACAGGTTCTCCGTCATAAATATATACACCCATCAATCCAAATATGCTACCGAAAAATCCTGAAAGACAAGTCAGATTTTGAGTCACAGTAAAACAAGAAACAAAAAGAAGCGTTTGCCCCTGCCACTTCCAAATTCAGACATATCAGGGCTGGTAATATCATAGATTCTTCTACATGGGTCTGTCTTTGAAGATAGTATGTGGAATTGTAGCCAGTGCAAAATAATCACAGCTTACATTGTGTAGACCAGGGGTCCTCAAACTAAGGCCCGAGGGCCAGATACAGCCCTCCAAGGTTATTTACCCGGTCCTCGCTCAGGGTCAACCTAAGTCAGAAACAACTTGAAAGCACATAACAACAACAACAACAACAACAACAACAACGCTATCTCATCAGCCAAAAGCAAGCCCAGACTTCCCATTGAAATACTAATATATTTGCTAAAATTGTTCTTCATTTTAATTATTGTATTGTTTTTAAGTGTTTTTTGCACTACAAATAAGATATGTGCAGCATGCATAGGAATTCATTCATAATTTTTCAAATTATAATCAGGCCCTCAACAGTTTGAGGGACTGTGACCTGGCCCTCTGTTTAAAATGTTTGAGGACCCCTGGTGTATACCAACAATCTTTAGCCTACACTCCTACCCTTTACACATAGGGTTTATGGGGAACTAGGCTGTGGCATTCTCTTTAGCTAGAAATCTTCTTCCTTGGGAGGCCGGTTGGGTTACCTCTCCACTTGCTTTTTAAATTCAGTATTTTTTAAAAAAAAACATTTTTTCTGGACTTTTTAACATAGTCATTGACATCTTCCTATTATATTTTACTATTATTGTTATTATTATTATCATTATTATTAATAAATTATAACAATTATAATATAATTATTTTAATATATTATTATTATTATAACTATTGCATTATTATTATTGTATAGTTTGTTTGTATTTGTAATATTTGTAGTATTTGTCAAATCTTGTATGGGGTTTTTTGAAATCCCGTGTTTATGCGAACTGTCCAAGGACCCTACAAGATTTGAAGACCAACATCCAGGAAGAAATTGCCAACATAATGCCTGCTATGCTGGCAAGAGTCATGACAAACGCCAGAAATCGGTTTACTCAGTGTATGGAAAATGGGGGACGTCACCTACCTCATTTGATCTTCAAAACTACATAAAATAAAACTTCAGGTATGCACCTACATTATAAAAAAATTCTGATTCATACAATGGATTTTATTAAGTTTTGAAATAGGAAGTTATGCTGCTGCACCCTGTACATCATTTAAAACAGGTTAAATCACATAATAAAATCCATATAAAACAATTTAAAACTATAAAAATCTATGACTTCCAGGTTTAAATCTATGTCCATTTGCATCGTTAAGCCGTTCCATGTTCGTTCACAGTACTGAGTTTGTCTGGTTACAATGAGGTTCCAAAAGCTTGCTCAAAGAGCCAGGTTTTTATTCTTTTCCTAAAAATCAGGCGAGAGGGGGCTGATCTAATATCCCCAGGGAGGGAGTTCCACAGCTGAGGGGCCACCACTAAGAATGCCCTGTTTCTCGTCCCCGCCAATTGCACCTGAGAGGCAGGCGGGATCGAGAGCAGGGCCTCCTCAGATGATCTTAAATTCCTGGAAGGTTCATAAGGGGAGACACATTTGGATAGGTAAGTTGGGCCAGAACTTGCAATAAGGGCACAGGAATGGACACGTTAAGATTGTTCTTTAAGGTCATTGTTCAGAACCTCACACAGAAAATGCACTGGTTTCCAAAACGTTTTGCCACATAGCATGGAGGGATTGCTTTAAAAAAATAACTTTGTCTCATTGTAATAGTTGCAGTGTACTTTGGATTCCAGCCATATTCTTTCACACCCATTAACTGCTATCAGAAATCAAACAAACTGAGCTGTGTCAGACAATAAGAGGAACAACAATTGCATTTTGAACAGGATGCAACAGCCCTAGTTCCTGTTAGCACAGCTAATGGAGAGTTTGGCATATGCTTCTGTAACGATTTGATTGTACCGAGCATATTGAGGCATTATAATTACGCTCTGAGCTACACCTTAATTTTCATCCTAGGTTTTTTGCAATAAAGGCTTACCTAGCTGAATGTTTCTAATCCATACAGATTGTTTTGTTTCTTTCAAAATTTTCTCAAAGTACACTCCAGCAAATCCACTTGAAAAACAGGCAATAAGTACTGCAATCAGGCCCACAAACTGTGACCCTGCTGAAAGCTCTTTCGTTGCTGTTGTTTGTGAGTCTGTTGGCCACTGAAAGAACAAAAAAAGGAAAATGAATTCTAAAGGAGTAGCTCTGCTGATTCATTATAGCAAAAGCAACAGTCTTGATTAATTTGTTAGCCTTTAAGATGTCCCAAGTACAGCAAGCGAGAGCATTAAAATGATACACACACAATAAAAGAGATGCAATGACAAGTCTATGCTTTGTATTTTACTTAAAGAAAAGTACGCAATGAAGTACTAGAGCTAACCTTAACAAATGGGGCTACAAAGTGGAGCCCATGACATGCGAGTGCAGAGAAGAGCAAACCACAGACCACTTATTACAATGCAACCTGAGCCCTGCCACATGCACAAGACCTTCTTAAAGCAACACCAGAGGCACTCCAAGTGGTCATCTTCTGGTCAAAGGACATTTAGCATAATGCCAAATTTTAAAATTTTGTTTGTGTTTTTAAATACATGTTAACTGTACTCTCAACTCGCATTTGACATGATAAATAATAAATATACCAGAGAAGTTTTCCATCCATGTCCCAATTAAAGTCCAGCATGATGTAGTGCCTTGAGCATTGGACTATGATTCTGGAGACCATGGTTCGAATCCCCATTTGGCCATGCAAAGTCATTGGGTGACTTTGGGCAAGTCACACTCTCTCAGCCTCAGAGAAAGGCAAGAGTAAAGCCATTCTGAACATATCTTGCCTCAGATGAACCTCGTGACAGGTTCACCTGAGGATCGTCGTAAGTTGGAACTGAAGGCACACAATAACAAGACGCAACCTTTGCATCCATTGGTATCGGCAGCTAGGATCAAACAGACTCATATTCTAATATAGTCTTTCAAGCATTTTGGGTTTCAGTCCCCAGAATTCCTGAGTACTGATGTACTACAGGACTTCTGGGAATTGAATATTGGATATTCAAAGTGACTGTTCCAATTTTCAAGGGTGTGTTGTATCTATACCCTTAACTAGCCTTTAACTGTTACATGACTCGCCCTTTCAATGAACAAAACTAGTATATATTTATTCATATTCCATTTTTATACAATTTATTGCCATTTATCAATATTTTATGGAGTTTCATCCACAATTACCCCAACTTATACCAATGGGATATTATGTCATAAGGGTGCATGGGACAGCAGTCTAAGGAGGGGTTTCTTAAACTTTTACATTCACTACCTCTTTTTGCCTAAGAAATTTTTATGTGACCCTATATAAGGTATATAAAATAGGAATAAAAACCAAACATTTACTGATAATTAATCAGCACTTGCTGGGTTTGCTTAACAGGCCGATTTTTCTTTTAGTGAATTACAACTGAAGCATTTTCTGCAGAATCCACTAAAAATGCTGCACATTGTTGCTAACAGATTTGTGTAAATGGGTGGCTTTCAGAAACCTTTTACGGGTGCTAGATTTGCCAGACTTTTCATGACCCCAACATTAAGCTAAGAGGATCCTATTAGGAATTTGGACCTACAGCTGAAGAAACACTGTTCTAAGAACTTAATGAAGTCTCAGTATGGTGTACTGAGTCTCCTTGGGTGCCTTCAGAAAGATAGGACAGGTTATAAATAAAGTATTATTATTATATTATTATTACTTCTGAATAAAGTTGTATTGCAAATAACGAATCAAGTAACTATTTTGTTGATAAAATTCAGAGTAAATATTTACCTGTACAAATGCAACTCCTGCCATTAGAATCACTAATGAAAGCCACTGATATACTCCTAGTTTCTTACTGAGCATAGACACAGAAAACAGTGCCGTAGTAAGGATTTTTAACTGATATGTGACCTAAAAGAAAAAAAAGGGCAAGATGGTTAAAACAACACTTCCTTTGTTTGCACAGCTCTTAACAAGGAGCACCACTCTATCAAGTGCTAGTACCTGGTAAGTAGCTGCATCTAAGTTTGACAAGGCCACATATAGCAAGTTATTTTGTAGTGTGTAAATCCCAGAAGGAATAGCAAGCTTAAGGGTCTCCATTGGCTTGTTGAGGATTTCATCATGCAACACTCTGTTCAGACTTCGTAGATTGCATTCTGTGAAGGAAAAGAAGTTTAAACTTTCTGTAAGTTCTAAAAATGAACAGTTAGAATGTGGCTTATACATTTCAGACATTGTTTTGTGTAAACTAATCATTTTAAACATGGCATACCAAAATTATATAATGAATGTCCACACAAAACAAGAAGTGTTTCAAAAAAGTGCAAAACTGAAATAATGCAGGTGGTAGGCTGGAATCAGTTGGATTATTCAGGTGACATACTGGGTGAGGGAGGGAAACCCAAAACTGTGCCCTGGAAACTCTACTGGCACAAGATTTTGATTGGTATTGTAGGCTGTTATGGGACAAGACTGGAAGAAAGTACATATATCTTGTAACACAATACTGAATTCAGACCACTGGGTTGTTTTAATAAATGTACAGCCATGACTAGTACTTGCTGCTAAAGAGATAAGATTTTCAATGGTTTGCCTTTTCTTTAGGGGATCAATTTATAGTAAAATAAAGGACACAAAATTTAACTATATACTAGGCTTGTGCAATTCAGCTGGAAGACGATCCATTTTTGGGATTCGAATTTCGTTGGGTACCCAGATCCGTTTTCGCGAGCCTCCCAAAAATCAGCTAATAGGAAAATCTGTTTTCGGCTAAGCAGTCAAAAGATCTGGGAAGATTAGGCCAATTGGTGGCAATAGGGAACTTACAAGGCTCCCCTGGGATCCTTCCTTAACTTTGTTCAACAAACCCAGACTCTCTTGAAAGGAAGAAAGAAAAGGGTCCCAGGAAGAATGCTTTCCTTTTTTCCTTTCAAGGGGGTCTGGGTTTGAGGAACAGAGTTAAGGAAGACTGCACCACATACTCCCGAATAGAAGGAAAGAAGCTGTACCCGGTAGCCACGTGGGCCATTTTGGGCAAAAAAAAAAAAAATGGTGGCTGAGGCCTTGCCGTTACAACTGTCTGGAGAAGCCAAAGAAAAACGGCTAAAACAGATTTGTGCATAAGTCTACTATGTACTCTATAATCTCATGTGTAAGTCTAAAATCATCCAAAAAATGGAGTACTATATCATAACTCTTATACAAAAAGGAATCACGCACTTCTCTGAGGCTGCTTCCACCCTGCCATATATATAATCTAGATTATAAAAGCAGGCGATCCATATTATCTGCTTTGAACAGGATTATATGAGTCTACACTATCATATAATCTAGATCATAGCAGATAATATGGATTTTATACGGCAGTGTAAAAGGGGCCTGAATAGGATGGCAAAAGGCAAGAGCTTAGTCTGTCCTGGGAGAACCTAAAAGAATTACTGACACCTCTACTCTCTGCACTATGGCATCGCTTCTGCCCTTTTTGAATGACTGGCTGGGGAAATAGTGGCAGGGGTCAGGGCCAGCTGGCCCCCAAGTTGACACTGGCAAAGCAAGCTATTCCTTAATTTATTATGCATCTCATCAAAATCCATCATTTATTATTGTTGTTATTATTAACTTTATTTATATACTGCTTTTCTCCCCGTGGGGACTCAAGGTGGCGAAAAATCCCACACTTTAGTCAAGTTTAAAAAGCACAATACAAAAGTTAAAAAACAATTAAATGTGGTAAAAACAGACTAAAATATAATAAATTATAACTAATACACTTAAAATACCCTTTAAAACTCACAGTCCAGTCCATCCCCAAATTCCACCCACAACATCCCCAGTCTGCCCCTTATTCTTCCCTAAATGCCTGCTGACAGAAGAAGGTCTTAACTTGTATATATGGTACTTCTTTCTCAACCTCACACATGTCTTCTTTAAACCCCAGCACTGTTGTTATGGAAATGGTATTAAAAAATACTGCTTTCATTGAACTGTCATTGAACAGTATTGTTCCTCTTGTACAATATCGTTTAATTAACTTTGGTGGTGAATGCTGGTAAGCAATTTATCCAAAATGAGGTCACAGAGAAACAAGAAAGATGTGCTTGTGGTAAACCTGGTGTTTGCAAAAGCATGTTTAGGAAGTCTGACTGGGCAATCCACATTCCCAAACCATCCAATGATGACACTCAAATGTCACAAAAGCAAAATGAGAGCTGTAATTGAAAAATCAGAATCGAGACTGCATACATTTCACAGATGGAAACTAGAAGACATGTGGCCAAGCAACACTGGAGTGTGGTCAAGGAGGCAAAGGACGAACAGAGAAGCTAGGAGCGCTGCAATCATTTGAGCATTTGCTATTGAGTGAGAGTACTGAAAAGGGCAAGTTTCTGTCCTACTTTTCCTCACCCTCTCAGGTTAACTGAGTGCAAAACGTTTTGCATTTAAATTCAGTTTACAGCAACTGAAGTAAGCTAGGGATGAATGGGAGAACTGGAAGGAGGAGAGAGAAACAAAAACTTTTTTAAAGGAGCTGAAAAAATGGGGAAGCAGGGGATTCATTGGAATTGTCTATGGCAAACATAGACACTTGGAGAACATAGATCTGGGAGAAGAACCGAATGCTCTTCTTGAAAGGAATTAGTTGACTCGAATCCTTAAGAGGAACATTAATTGTAAGGCGGAGAATGCACAGAAACTTTGCGTACAGGTCTCAGTTGTACTGACAATATTTTAACTGGATTTTGATGCATTTAGAAATAAACAAGGAAAGAAATAACCAAGCACGTACTGCTGTCTTTGTAAACCAACAAAATACAGGCCATAATCTTGAGAAGTTCGGCAATAACTACGGCAGTTGAAGATAAGTAACGAGGCCCTTCTTCTTTCAACGTCCGGGAATAACGCATAGTCAGCACCAAACTAGTTGTCTGGAAGACCAATATCCCCAGCGAAAGGTATTTTAAGTTGGCAGACATAGTTTGATTATCGCTTTCCTGAAAAAAAAGAAAAGATGCAACTTGATAAATTAAAGGTACAACAGAGATAACTTTGTCAAGTGACTCCTACAATAGTCAGAATCATTCACAACAGAGAGAAATCTCTGGAAACCAGAAGTAATGAACCAAAACTTTTAATGTGAAAGCACAAGTTCATATGCAGAGCAAACAGTTTGCAGTGCTGGAAGTTAAACTAAGGCCCCTTCCAGATAGCCCTATATCCCAGGATCTGATCCCAGGTTTTCTGCTTTAAATTGGATTATACGAATCCACGCTACCAGATAATCTGAGATAAACAGAAAACCTGGGATCGGCTCCTGGGATATAGGGCCTGGTTGAAAGGGCCCTCAGACATGGAAAAATACTTAGTTTTTGCTTGCTTTAGTTATTAACTTAGGCTGGGGCTCATTCTTTTTGCAGCTTGTCACTTCAAAATCTGTTACTCAATTAAACATTAATGCATCTCAATGGAAGAATAATTTTCTCTTAATTGTTATTTAATTTTGGGGAAATTTCACCATTCTGTGTTTGTTTGTTAATGCTTAACTAACAGATAAATGAGAATCAACAAGATGTACACCTATTACATAATCATTTCACTAAAAACTATTTTGGCTTTTTACTAAGTGGGAAGCAATAAAGTGCACACCTGGTACAAACGGTTCCGGCCCAGCTTACCTGTCTAACGTACCTCCCTCTATGATCTGTCTCAGAGGCAAAGATAGTCAGGGGAGGCCCTGCTCTCGGTCCCACCCCCCTTGCAAGCACAACTGGTGGGGATGAGATACACGCCTTCTCACTGATGGCCCCTCGTCTATGGAACTCCCTCCCCAGAGAAATTAGATCTACCCCCTCCCTCCTTGCCTTCAGAAAAAAAACATGGCTCTGGGATCAGGCTTTTGGTCAATAATGGGAGCAAGGCAATAAGAGATTATAATTAATTTAATGATGACCCGGACTGGCCCTGGAATATGACCTGGATTGTTTTAATGATTGTTTTAATGCTATGCTTTAATTGGGTGATTTTAATATTTTGTTTATTCGTTGATGTATGTATACATGTGGCATTGAATTATTGCCTTTATAAGACTGCCTCGAGTCCTCTTTGGGATTGAGAAAGATGGGATACAAGTATAGTAAACAAATAAACAAATAATAAATAAATACAACTTCCTTCTACTAAAAAACCTATACGTCTTACTTGTACTAAATTCAATCACTGATCCACTCCAGTCAGTACTACTTATATTGCCAATGGCTCTGTGCTGTAAGTCAAAAGCTGGGAAATTCTGAATACAATGCACACTCTATCACTAATATGTGCCACCTTATTGAGAGACCAGCTCCCTCTCAGTGTTGCAAAGTCATAGCTTGGGAAAGTTACTTTTTTAGACTATAACTCCCAGCACACCGAATGCTAGTTTAAAGAGGCTAACAACTGAACCATCCCAAAGGTAGCTTGTTCCAAGTAAACTATCAAGCTCAATCCAATTAAGCACTGTTCCTTGAAGTATTCAACCAGCTTGCACATTATCCACACAACACCAGCATACAAAGATCAATCCATGCCATCTGAATCTGATGTGCTAAAACCCATGAACAAAAATGTTGTACAGAGCAGTGTTCCAGGTGCTTGAAGCAAACCCTGCAGGTTTCCACCTTTTAAAGCAAACAGGTAATGTGATTCATAGTTTGATGTAAACAAAAGTATGGAAATGTAACTTCAAAACTGGACAATCAGGCAGAACATCAGAAGTGAGTAAAACTAATATTATTATTTAAGGGATAATCTTCCAGACGTGAAGGTTCAGAATATGAACTATGGAAGTATATAATAATAAAATTAGAATGGACAGGAGGAAATCTGTATTCTAAATGAGGTCTGACCAAAGCAGAACAGACTATGACTGCCCTCAATCTAGAGACTAAACACTATATTCCTATTAATGCCTCCTAGAATCAAATTGGCTTTTTTAGCTGTCATATCACATTGTTGCCTCATGTTCAGCTAGCTAGTTGTTGTGTGTTTTCCGGGCTGTATGGCCATGTTCCAGAAGCATTATCTCCTGACGTTTTGCTTGCATCTATGGCAGGCATCCTCAGAGGTTGTGAGGTCTGTTGGAAACTAGGAAAATGGAGTTTATATATCTGTGGAATGTCCAAGGTGGGAGCAAGAACTCTTGTCTGTTGGAAGCAAGTGTGAATGTCGCAACTGGCCGTCTTGATTAGCATTTAAGGGCCTAGCAGTTTTCAAAATCTGGCTTCTTACTGCCTGGTGTAATCCTTTGTTAGGAGGTAATTAGCTAGCCCTGATTGTTTCTTGTCTGGATTTTCCTTGTTTTTGAATGCTGTTCTTTATTTGCRATCAGGATTTTAGAGGTTTTTAACACTGGTAACCAGATTTTATTCATTTTCATGGTTTCTTCCTTTCTGTTGAAATTGTCCAACAGAACYGAAGAAACCATGAAWATGAACAAAATCGCTTGCATCTATGCCYGCCATAGATGCAAGTGAAACGTCAGGAGAGAATGCTTCTGGAACATGGTCATACAGCCCAGAAAACACACAACAACCCAGTGATTCTGGCCATGAAAGCCTTCGACAATACATTGGTCTACTAAGACTCCTAGATCCTTTTCACGTGTACTGTTTTCAAGCTTGGTGCCACCCATCCTCTCCTGAAACCAGAAACCCAACCATTCTGCAATCTAGACACATATAGAGCAAGAGAGAACTCTACTGTCTTCTGCTGGTGACCACTGGTTAAATATAAGCACCTGCCATCTTCCTATGTAGTTCCATCCTAATTGGAACCAACTTCCCTTGGCCACTACTTTCAGCCTTTTTGAGTTATTTAAAAAAATATCTTTGTACCACTAGCAAACTAGTTTATCTAAAAACTGCTACTGCTCATTTGTGGCCGTGGTGATCCATGCCCGAGTTAAGAACAGAAGGGTGTGCTCTCCAAAGTCCTGGGGTCACTAAACTGAACTGACAAAGCTAGGGATTAAAGCAGAACAAGTTGAGCAGAATACTTTCCTCACTTGTTAGGGCAGGAGGTCAACTGCTCAAGGTGGCATTTACACCTGCTGAGGTCTGACTGGATCCATTCCATAACTGCTTACTTTGGCCAAGTCCCAATCTCAAGATGCCTAACAAAAATATGATTCACTCTCTAGCTTGCAATGCATTTCTCACATGGGCCACAGAACGAATTAGTCATTTAGCTTAATCAGGGCTGGGCAAAATATGTTCCCCTTCCATGTCGTTGGATTGTAAGTCTGAACATTTCTAACCAATGCTTATCTGGTTAGATGCTGCAGTCCAACAATAGCTGGAGGGATGTACTTTGCCTTTCCCTGATCTTAAAGATTAACTTTTGCTTTTGGGCAAAAGGTTCATTACATTAGTACAATACTCTTCGAGGATAGCATACGCAACAAAGGAATAACACAAACAAGCTTACATTTGACACTTTTATGGACTACTAACCGTCCCCTGCCACACGTTGCTGAGGCCCAGTCTGTGAATATGTGTTTTGTATGTTTACGTTATGTGTATGTGTGTATATATTTGTGTATGTGTGTTTGCGTATATATGTGGTTTTGTACATGTGTTGTAATGTATTTTTTTGGCTTTTTAAGTCCCTTCCACTGTGTTTTTCTGCGTTTTAATGAGTGATGGTCACTCGTTGGCCTGATAGGTGTCTTGTGTCCAAATTTGGTGTCAATTTGTCCAGTGGTTTTTGAGTTACGTTCATCCCACAAAAGAACATTACATTTTTATATGCTAGAAGTTAGCATAGAGTTGCACAGGAGGACATAGTAAATTCTTAGAGGATACCTCTCTAGATTCTCTGCCACTACTCTATGGTATGCTGAGGCCATAACTGCGATTTGGCTGGGAACATATCACCTGTGGATACAGGGGTCTTGCTGGATCTTAAAATAATTTACTGAAATAGCAGTTTTCTATGTTCTTCAAATGTGTGAATGTGACCTTAGAATGATAGGCAACCACTCTCTTTAAAAAGTATATAGAAGAACAATGAAAGACATGTTTTGTTATATCATTAAGGTTTCTGGAAATAGTGAATTTCTGGTATATGTCTTCTCTTAGAGCTTGGCCAGCCAACTGCAGCAGGTCTGGGAGCAATTTCCACCCCATGGGCCTCCTAGAAACTTCAAGGATTAAAAAAACACCCACAAAATCAGAACTGGCTAGAAATATACTACAGGTTTTGAAAATGTATAATTTTTGGAGTTAAGCAATGCAGATGGGTCCTTCACAGAGAGGCTTCTAGGAAAGGCAGGTCATCATTACTATTCCTTTTTAAGTTTAATAGTGGAGCCATGTTTTATGAATTTGAGGAATAGGAGGCCTTAATTCTGGCTGCCTGAAGCCTAAATACCTTAAAGACACTACATTCCTTTTGACATTGGAAGCTAAACAGAGTCAGTTCTAGTTAGTACTTGGTAGGCTTGTGCAATCCGAGTAAACCTTGATCCATTTCATGTCCCGGCTTTCGTGTTCCGACTTATCTATTTTTGTTCTGGGGTGCCAAAAGGTCCATTTTCTATTGACCCATTATGGGGGGGGGGTCCCCTGGCTCCCCTTCCCATCATTTAAAGCATTTAAGTTGTTGCTTACTCTAGAAGAGAGGCACTCAGCTGAAGGCAGGTACATGCTTTAAAGAGGCTTCGTACCTGTTTCTGCACTAGAGGAGAGGTGCTTGGCTGCAGGCAGTCACATGCATTTTCTCTCCCGGGCCTGCACACCACACACACTGTTTCCAAGGCAAAACCTGTTTCTTACTCTAGAGGAGACGGAGAGGTACTTGGCTGGAGATAGGCGTGTGCACTTTCTCTCCCAGGCTACACAATGCCAGCAGCCACACACTTTCCAAGGCAAGGAAGCAAGTTCTGGAGAGGTGCTCAGCTGCAGGCAGGCGCATGCACATTATTTCCCGGGCTCTTATCACACCAGCAGCCACGCAC